TTAAAGAGTGTGTGTAGATAAGAACAAATTAAGAACATTTTGAGCTTGAAATATTTAAAATAAAAAATTAAAGCCTTATAATCATATAAAATAAATAGACATTAAAATAAACAATATTTATATTTAAACTTACTGCCTATGGTATGTGGAAACACTCCAAAAAATTAAAATAAAACATTCAATTTTACTCTAATTTAAAGACAATATTTGATTTTTCACTTATTAACATTATATATCCTAGGCCCTATAGTATTTGAGTACATTTACTAAATTTCAATTGAAATTTGATAACAAGATAATAAAAATATATATATTTTTATTGTCTGTTTTCTGGATTTATACCACATACCCTGCAATTCAACCTATTTGAAGTTTTCGTGGAAGTAATAGCTAGACAGGAATTGACCGTGTTCCAAGAATTGAGAATATACAGTTATTGATTCGCTGTCAAATAAAGTTCAAAGGTTACTAATGCAGACAATCAAAATTCAAACAGAGCCTACAGTGTGTTTTGTATACAGTATTTTGAAAGCGTATGAATCATTTTTTGGATATTGGTAAATAATGTTACCTGTATATTAGCAAGAACAGGAATTTTAAATTACTGTATAAGGAAAAATAATGACACATAATATCATGACTGTATGTCGTTTCTTAACATTTGACAATAATCCAATTTTGAGAACCTTCTGAGAACTACTTTCGAGACCACTCTTTCAAAGGTTCAAATAACAATCTTCAATCATTTAACACAAAGCTAACCCTCTTTGAAGACTCAACCCCGAATTCAACTGATTTTGTTATCAGGGATAAGGGAAGGGTGGTGTTGTTACCCCTCACTCAACTTGATCATAAATTTTTGATGGAGCCTAAGCACTGGCGTAAATTATCTGCAGGCTGCAATGTTTAAAAGTAAATCCTTACAGAGCCAATAGGCCCCATAGGGCTGGAGTTCATCCCCAGTTTAAAATAGCGTGAAGCAGATGAGAGGGTGATGCTCCCCACTGGGTGGGACGCTAGTCCACCGCTGGTTTCTCCCAGCAGTCCGCTGGTACATATTGATACCGTTTGGTAGACTGAAGCAATGTAGATAGAGTGCCTTGCCCAAGGACACAAGCGAAATGCACAATGAAGGATTGAAACCACGACCTCGAGGTTGGGAAATGAAACTGTTTCCGCTGTGCCAAACCGCCTCTTTCAGGCTGCAATGTTTACTCACCTATAATTCAATTAGTATTTTGAACTGCGCATGCCCATATCAAGGTCAATCGACACAATTCTGGACCTTGGATCCAGTCATGCGCAGTTCAAAATATTAACAGGCTTAAATTTAACCTATAATGCCTGCACTGTGAATGTCTATATAAAAAACAAAACAAAACACACAATTACTGTACTGTCAATATTTTAAGGAGACATATTTGCCATCCATACTGCTCAATGGAGGTCTCTTAAAAGCATGGCCATGGCACTTCAAGGGCCAAACCTTCTGATAAGAAAATAAGAAATAAACAAGGAGAAGATACAGCTGCCTTTTTTGATAATTAGCTCCACCCAGAGTGCTACACACATTCTTTTAGCCACTAGCAAAATACTAAACTTTTTTTTTGTAACAACACAATATAAGAAAACTGAGGCTGAAATCTCTTAAAAATTAAGAACAAAATAATGAACAAATTGAGGCTGAGGTAAAATGTCAAATGAGGATTTAATTTTTTTTTTACACAGAAAACCAACCAATCTATATGTACTTTATATGCAGTAGATGTTAATATCTAATACCCTCTATAATACAGTAAAGTAATATACTGACTGTAAAATAATAATTTTCTATGTTTGAAAATTGTGTATAAATAAGAACAAATTAAGAACATTTTGAGCCTGAAATTGGCCCAAGAATAAGAACACTGAGTTTGGGCAAAATTCTACTGATTCTTATAAAAAAAAAAGAGTTTACTACTTATAGGAAAAATATTTAATTTATAATATTTAATTTGTATATTTTAATAATGTTTAGGTTCCTAAAGTGTATCAGGTCAAAACAGCAATAAACCAAAACAGCAATAAATAAAACAGCAATAAACCAAAACAGCAATAAATAAAACAGCAATAAACCAAAACAGCAATAAACAAGTACCAAAATGGCAACAGACCAAAACGGCAAGAATACAGATGAATCCGGTCGCAATTCACAGGCGCAGTATAGTACGCCCATGTACATGCTAGTGGTTTAAGATGTGTATAAGAGAC